TCAAGCAGTCCTCTTACTCAGCATCCTGAGTAGCTGGGATTACAGGCGCCCACCACCATCTCTGGCTGATTTTTGTATTTTTAGTAGAGACAGGGTTTCACTGTCTTAGCCAGGCTTGTTTTGAACTCCTGACCTCATGATCCACCTGCCTTGGCCTCCCAAAGTTCTGGGATTACAGATGTGAGCCACCACACACCCAGCCTCAAAATAACATTAATGGTATTTTCTTTAGCTTATCCTTAAAGTATATAGGTACAAAATCAGTCTACCAGATTTTCTATAACTCTACTTTTTTTTTCTTATTTTGCCAGAACACATAGCAACTAATGTGTGTAAAGCATAGACACACTGGAGTCCTTTGTCTCACCATTTGGTGATGGCTCAGAAGCGTCACATGGCATCATCATGAATGTCCCTGATCTTGGAAAAATGACAAAGAAGGCTAAGATTATGAAATGGGACCCTGACTTTAGTACTTTTATGATCTTGTTAAACCTGCTGATGAGGTGTTAACAAGCTTAATTAAAGGATTCTTTCCACTGTTCTCTCGGGAATGGATTTAAGGGCGGTTGGAGTTCAAGGAGACTCTTGTATTAGTTCAGGAGAGGGAGGACGGTGACTGGGCCTCATCTTGTCTGCTTACCCCCTGCAAATTCCATCCCAAGGAAATTTGACCAGAGAACAGTTTCAATTTGCAAATCACAGAAGCCACTCTAGTATTTCAGGAGATAGGGATTGAATACAGGGAATAGCGCTTACTGAGTTGCTAGATAAACTGTAAAGTGGGCCTCTAGGATTCCTGGCACAACTCTGCAGAGCCAGCCTGTCCAGGGAACTGTGCTTCTGTTAGGAGGCTGAAGAATTAGAAAGTCACTGTCCCAACCACTGGTTCCAGGATCACACCTCCTTAGCCACCTCCAGAACTGTTGGCTCCCAGACCACCCAACCCTCGCCAGATCTGACCAGCAAAACGGATGTCTCCCTTCTTCCCCTCTTAACTCTCTTCCTAACACAAGTCATCCAGAACTTAAAACGAGGTTGCACACAGAAAGTTGTTTTGGGATGTGCACCTGATTGGCAGGACCAAATCACATTTGAAACTGTAGGTGTACCAGAATCTGAAGGCATTGTTTTTGGCCTTTCAGCCCTTACTATAGGAGCACACCCCAGGAGGAGACTGGAATCACATGAGTCAGTGCCTACCCCATCCCTATAAATCGGGGTGTCTGTTGGGACAATGGAACATGAATGGTATGTTTGGGGTATGTTTGAAAGGTAGAACCTGCAGGAATTGGTGACTGACTTGCTGGGGAGAAGGGTGACAAGGGTAATGTCAGAGGCAAACCCCATTCCATTAAGTTCTGGTTTTGTACCTTTTAGAACATTACTCCTGTTAGATTTTTTTTAATCTGAAAAATAATAAATTGCTACCCAAATGTTCACTGAAATGACCAGTTGCCGTATCTTATCTAGAGCAATGTGAACAAATTTCAAGAGCCAGGTGACCTCAAAGTTTCTTCATACTTCTGAAATTCTTTAGGAGATTATACTGTGTCTGAACATACTTTCTTTTCGTGATACATCTTTGTCAATACCAGAAGTAGAAGTCAAACAAAGGCGTTGGCGGCGTGGGTTCCCCAGCCCCACCCCACCCTGCTAAATGGCAGCGCCTCCAGGATGTCAGGGGTGGTGTTCTAGGCGGATCCCCACGCACGAATAACCCTTATCATGGTAAACTTGCTGGGCCTGGGAATCCAGTTGGTTTACTTGTTGCTTCAGATACACTGTCTGTTCTTCTGCCTAGCTGAGGAGGGTTTAAGGCAGCAGGTGGCTGCCTTGCCCTGGGTTTCCCGCCCCCCACCCCTACATCCCAGGTGGAAGCCCGCAGGTTAGGAACTGCGGAGCCATCAATACTTCTAACCAGGCTTCCTCTCCCTACTGGCCGTGTGATTGGCTCAGTCTCCCTCCACTGTCTTCATTTTCCACTGTGGCACTGTTAATTAATAGGGCTGACCACTGAGCATCTTATTGGCTAGCACCTTAATGGGGTCCTGGCTGCGCCGGGCCAGATCTACCCATTGCTCAGGTGACTAAACTCACAACAGTATTGGCAATTTCCTCCAGTACCCTGAATGCTTTATTAAAATATCTTCTGCCTCCTGGCCATCTCATAGAAGCATAATGTACTCATTTGCATCCTTTAACCTCAAGTAAACTCATCAATGGGAAGTCTTGGTGGAGACATGAAAGCATTTCAGATGACTCCCTGCCATTGAGACAGCAGCTGGTGCCGTTCTCCCCTGCAGCAAACTGGGGTCAAGATTCGTTCCTCTCCTGCCAAGATTGTGTCTGGCTGAGGCTGCTGCAGGCATGGTGCAACTGGGAGATGAGTGGTTCCAGGTGTTGTAAGCACCGCCTCTCCCAGAATGTATAAACCAAGCTGGGAAAACAGAATGTGTACACTGTGGGTTATGAAGCTGTAACTCACATTTTAAGGCAAAACCTGCATTCCTGAAGTTAGAAATAGGTTGCATGGTGGAAGGTTTTTATTATCAAAAATACATTTTTTCCTAGAAACAGCACATTTGTGAATGTTGGTTTTCCAGGCTTGCCTCCAAAAACCCACTTAACTCATCACCTAGCTGTACAACCCGGCGTTTGCAGGACAGAGCAGCAGCCAGGAGTCTTGTGCATGGTTCCCACAGCGTTTTAGCTTCTCCCTGCTCTTGGGAGTTGTTTGAACCCCAGCCCAGGAGAGTGAAGCTCATTCACTGCCTTCAAAATGGCAGGGCAGCATTGGCCAGTAGTTCTCAGAATCACCGGGCAGGCTTGCTGAGCCACACTGCTGTGCTTACCTGCAGGAGCTTTCATTCAGTGGGCCCGGGATGGGGCCCAAGAACTTGCCTTTTCTAACTAGTCCCCAGGTGGTGCTGATGCTGCTGGTCCTAGACTGCAGTTTGTGGACCACTGGAGCAATCATGGAAGGACATTAACCCTGGAAGGAGTTATGAATTCTTAATAAGTCTGAATTCTTAATCAGTATCTGGGCCAGATGCGGCAGCTCACCCCTGTAATCCCAGCACTTTGGGAGGCCAAAGTGGGAGGATCACAAGGTCAAGAGATTGAGACCATCCTGACCAACATGGTGAAACCATGTCTCTACTAAAAATACAAAAATTAGCTGGGCATGGTGGCATGTGCCTGTAATCCTGGCTACTCAGGAGGCTGAGACAGGAGAATTGCTTGAACCCTGAAGGCGGAGGTTACGGTGAGCCGAGATTTTACCACTGCACTCCAGCCTGGCACCTGGCAACAGAGTGAGACTCTGTCTCAAAAAAAAAAAAAAAAAAAAAAAAAACCCAGAATCTGTGCAACCAGCAGTGCCTGGCTGCCAAATTCATGAATAAACCCTGACAACAGTAAGTTCCAAGCCGTCTTTTATTGACGAGGCCCTTGTCCAGTCTGTGCTTACATTCCGTATTCTCTTTTTTCCTGGGCATGGCATTGCAGATGACTCTCAAAGTCGATAGGGCAGAAAAAGAAGTCACCCTCCTCAGGTCTCTGGAAAGCCAGACCTGCCTTGGGGACATCGGTGAGCCAGCGTGTGTGTCCAGGAGTCCATGGCAGCAGTGGAGACGGTGTGACAGGCAGTGCCTGCCTACTTACCCCAGCCAGGCGCTTTTCCCTGCACCCACTGACATGGAGCTTGGCTTTTTCTGAATTTCACTGAAGCTGAGAATCACAACTGTGACCTCAGGGGCCTCGATCAGGCTCTGGAAGTTTGGGAACATGGGGTAGGAGGACCTCAGTGCCCTCTAAGGATCCATCCTCTGCTGCAGTCTGGTAGCATAGACACAAGGGGCCGGGGGAGACATCTAAGAAGACAGAGCTAGCTAGGATCAGGGTCAGCCCACTCACTTCTGCATGCCCCACCCCCTTCCATATGCCCCACCCCCTCCAATCCTGCCTCTGCTCCCACAACACCTCCAGGTGTGGCATTCTCAAATGCATTGGCATGCATTTCTTCAGCTGCTTCCCCACACCACCCCATTCTCTGTCTCCACTGACCTAGAGTTGAGAGTCCAGAACTGGAAGCTTTGGCCACTTCTTTGCAGCAGAAGCAGGATATCTAGACCCCCACTCTGCTGTCTCCGGGGCCTGGCCAGCAGGGACCCTGCTTATTTATTTGCCCCTCTGGCCCGGATGCAAGCTGCATGTGGATTTGAGTCCACACACTTGGGCACACATCACTTAGAGGGAACAAACAGGGGTTTCTCCCTTGACTCTGCAAGTGGAGAAAAGAAAAATGAGAAGATTGTATTTTTCTTATTAAACAATCCAGTAATCTGAACGTTGTATTTACTAATTGACCGGTTTTCTCTCCAAGTGGAGCAGATGGCTTTAGAGGAGAACATAGGAAAACACAAGGGACATTTCTAAGGGAAAAATAGAATGTTTAGTTAAAGTTCATATTTCACTATTCACTACTAACTCTCACCTTTATTTTAAGGCTCCTTGTAAAGTTTTGGGAGTGTTTTGAGATGAAAATATGAAAGTAACTTTTAACCTCCCCCTGTCACCACAATACCCATGCAGAAAGTTGTCAGGGTCTCCCAGCCCCTGGGCCCCCGGAGCAGCTCTTCAGGGTGAGGGATCACTGGTCCTCAGGGATGCCTGGTCTCCCTTGCTGTCCCGCTTTGCCTCGGTTTACATTTCTCGTGGTGGTTGGGACAGAAGAACACACATCCCCAGACTTCCTGTATCATCCTTTGCAGACTTATAATCTGTCCCAGACGGAAATGTTACACTTCCTTTTGTGGGCAAATTATATGTCTCATTGTATTTTAAAAAACGTGGAAGAGACTCTGAATGGCGTATGTGGCATGGTACTGGCAACGGTGCCGCAGTCCCTCTAGGGTTGTTGTATTGCCCTTAAAATTGAGTACGACTAGCTCTGTGTATGTTTCTCTCTGATTTATTTTCTATTTGCCCCTCTCTAGTGGGATCTTGTGTGTGATAATGCCTGGAAGGTCCATATCGCTAAGTTCTCCTTACTGGTTGGATTAATCTTTGGCTACCTAATAACTGGATGCATTGCTGACTGGTGAGTACCAACGTGCCCGCCGCACGAACCTTTGGAAGCCACAGCACGCCTCTGGTGGCTAAAGAAAAGTGGTCAGTGTTAGCTTACCGTGACTGAGTCTTTTCCCAGTGCCAGAGCAGAAGGCCAAAGCTGCCATGTGGAGAATGCAGAGCTCAGAGAAATGGCCCATGCACATAGCAGATCATTTGGAAGTGTGAATTTAAATTCAAAGCAATTCTCTAGCTGCTAGAATCTAGCAGAAGTAGCCTGCAGCCCCATCTACTTCTAACCTTTGATGTTCATTTAGAAAGAGCTTGAAAACGTATGTGCAGGGCTCCAGGGGCTGGGCACTAAGGGGTGGATACAGAAGATGCATTAAAAAATAGGGGTGGGGGAGCTAGAGACCCTTCCCCCATGTGAGCTGAATGAGGAAGGCAGTGCTGATGAGCACCTCTGAATGTCACGTAGATCTTTAGAGAGGGAGAGTCCTTGGCTTAGCCAGGAGATGCCTCTGCAGGATCTGGGGGGAGCTGCGTCTTGAGGGATAAAGAGCATTTGGGTAATACAGATGGGCTCTGAGGGCAGGGGAGGCGGTGGCCAGAGGTGAGAATGCATATGCTTTGTGGGGGTAGGAGAGGAAGTCTGGGTGCCTGGAGCAAAGCACCTTTGTAGTTCAGGATGAAGGAATGAGGTTGGTAGGACAGAGGTCTGCAGGTAAAGATGGTAGCAGAGACATGAATAATAATGATACCATTAGCAGGTAACACTTGCTGAAAGATTACTATGTAGCAGGCACTGTGCCAAGTAGTTCCATACATTAACATCTCCTTACAACGTATTATTACCTGTGTTTTACAGTTGGAAAAGCACAGAAGTGTAAGTAAAATCCCCAAGTTCACCCAGCTTTAAGCTGGAGAGCCAGGACTTGAACCTCAGCCACATGGCCCCAGAGCCTGCCCCTCCACCAGGGTGCTGCCATGCTTTTATTTAAGACATTCTGTGGTCACAGGAGCAGCAGCGGTGACGTGTCCAGGCAGGGAGGCAATTGCACAATGTTGACAGGTTTTTCAAGTAGTGAGACTGCTCAGGAGAGGGGCACACTCTAACTATCTCCCCAGCTTGCACTCTTTTCTCTTTAAAGGATTTTTTTTTTCTGGTGAATCAGGACATCTTGGCCTGATGACATAATAAGGGCCCAGAGTGATACAGAGCAAATCTGTAGGTCCTGTGACCTCTGCACCTCAGTTAACGGAGAATGCTGGCCTGGGTGGACAGCAGCAGAGGGTCACATTACACATGTGGAAAATTTCTGCCAAAACCAGCGTTCTATTTGGGAGTTCCCTGAGCTGGCATGTAATGTGATTTCCTGTGTGCTCGATATCTGCTTCATCATCACTTGCAAGTGCCTCTCATGGACACATTCTCTGTGAACAGCAGCAGAGAAGCAGTCAGTGACCTCTGGAGACCTATGCGGGGGACCCCTTGCGGGCTTTCTCTGGTGGAGGCAACACGGGGTTTATTTTTTAAACCAAATACTTGAGTTCATAGGTTTCTATTGTGAGCTATATTGGTCTAAAATATGCTGTTTCCCAGAAATCTCCACTGATATAGGTTAGAAAAATATACTAATATAATCCATGTCATCGTCTTTCTAAAAAAAAAAAAATGCAGACTTGACGGGTATTAGTGTCCTTATTCAAGAAATAATTTGATAGAAAAGTAGAAATCGACTTTTATTAATGAAGCAGTCCGTAATAGTTGAAATTGTTTAAAGGTTGTTTTCTTGGCTTTCTTCTTGTTGTACACACATGTGATGTGGCCTCCCTGATCACACACCAGGCCTGAGGACAAAAGACTAGAGTTTGGGTCTTGCTCTTTGAGTAACCAGAGGTCTGACATCGCAAACCCTTTCTCTGCAGTTGCTTTTCTGAGGGTCCTCATCAGATGGGCCAGATTGAGGGGGTACCCTGGGAATCAGGGGCAGACTGCCTGAGTGGTGGTTTTTGAACATTTTGAGTGGGCTTCCCTTTCCATTTGAGAGCTTGGTATTTTCCAACCCCATTCTCTGGCATTTTATTCCCTGCTTGAACCTTGCTTAAAAGGAAATAAACCCATTGAAAGGGAACTCCAGACCTCACGGCTGTGAGCCCTGTTTCATGGCTGCACGGGGAAGTTGACTAAGTCATATAGTATGCTTCCTAAAGCTGCAGTCAGCATTTAGCAACATTTAAACAGTACTCGTCTTTCTTTAAAAAGTGACTGTTTTTGACACTAAGTTTTGTCTGGGGATGTTCACTGGGCATTGGTATAAAACCTGCTAGTTCAGGTGGGTGGGGGGAGATGATGGCCTGCAGCCCCAGAGATGCACTCCCTTCTTCGCGGCCTTTGTCACTGCAGCAGGCTTCTCCCTTCTTCCCCAGCCCACCCTGGGAAGCTGGCCAGTATGGGCTGCCCTGGAGGACCCCTTGCCCTCCAGCTCCTGGCTGAGCATGTCCAGTGGGGAGCAGCAGCTGTAAATCCTCAGGGGAGAGGAGAGTGAGGTCAGGCACTTGTGTGCCCAGCTTGCTCTCTGCCAGGCTGGAGGGGCCAGCCACCTCCTGTCCATGACCTCCACATAGAACCTCGTTCTCTCTGGGGCTAGGACCGTCCTTCCCCTACTCCCTGCTGTCAAGAGCCATAAGGTCAAACACCATCTCTTGTGGGTTTCCTCATAGCTTGTTTACTCTTTTATAAATAATCCCTTTATTAAAATCTCCTCCAGTCACTTCATTTGAGTGGGACCTCTGTTTCCTGTTGAGACCCTGTGTCAGTTCTCTATGGCTGCTGTTACAAATTACTGCAAGCTTGGTGGCTTCCATAATCCAAATGAATGATCTTAACAGTTCTGCAATTCACAAGTCCAACAAAGGTCTCACTGGTCTAAAGTCAGGTTGTCAGCAGGGCCGTGTTCCTTTTTACAAGATCTAGGAGACAGTCTGCTTCCCTGCTTTTTCTAGCTTCTAAAGGCCACCTGCTCATGGCCCCATCCTCCATCTTCAGAGCCAGCAATGTCAAGTCAATTCCTTCTCACATCACTACCTCTCTGGTTCCCTGGAGCCAGGGGAGATTTTCCTTGTCATTAGATTGGACCTACCTGCAAAGTCACCTCATCTTAGGGTCCTTAAGCTTAATCTCATCTTGAGAATTCCTTTTACCATGAAAAGTAAAATACTTACATGTTCTGAGGATTAGGACATGGACATATTTGAGGACCACTGTTCTACCCACCACAGATCCTAAGTGATAAAGTCCTCTGCATTACAGACAAAGGCTGTGACTTTATCAGTCCTCTCTGAGGCGGTTCTGCTCTGGGAGCCAGTTCCTGTGAAAACCATCCATACTTGTAGCTAACATGTAACGAATGCTTGCTGAGCATTTGTTCATATCCACTCCTGTCGACATCATTATGAAGTAATGATTAATTGGCCCTTACCAAAGGGAACTCGAGGCTCATTCAAACAAGCCTGGCCTTACTCCAGATCACATAGTTCAGAAGTGATGATCCTGGCTGGATTCAGAACCAACACACTCTGACTTCAAAGACTGTTTGCCCTGTAGACCTTGATGATAAGTTTTACTTCTTGATTTTAGCAACCATTTGGGAGGCAGGTACTTAGAATGGTTGCCACATTCTTAAAAAGATCAAAACTCTTTTCTGAAACATCAGAACAGAGCAAGCCATGTTTGGTAGGCATCAGGGATGTAGAAGTGTAGAAAGAAATGAACACGAAAACATTTTACTGTTCACTTTGTACCAGGCGTTGCATCTGTTCCCCTCATCCCCCCTAGTGAATGACCTCAACACTCCACCACATAGGATGCTGATCCCCATTTTACGGACCAGGGAGGCCAAGGGTAATGCACGATGTTAGAGTTAGTTCATTTTCCTTCATTTTAGGAGAATGACTAAAGCTGTATTTTAAACTTATTTTTGTAAATGAGTTAGATTTGGACAAAATCAGCTACACAGTCTTTCCTAGTAAGGGCTTCCTGACCCCAGCACCAGACAAGGGAAAGTACTGGCTCAAATCTCTACGTGAGATTATTGACTTACATGGAGCCCCTCGCCTCGGCTTGCTTCGCTAAACCAGGGTGACTGATGGGAATGGTTAGAACAAAAAGTTCTGAGTAAATTTCATCCTGTTGTTCCTTTCCCTGTGTTTTCTTAAAATTCCATCTGTCTCCATAACGGAAGGCTGTGCCTTGCTTGTTGTTTTTTTTTTTTTAACAGTTTTATTGACAGATAATTTGCATCCCATAAACCCACCCATTTTAAGTGCACAATTCAGTGAGTTTAGTATATTTGCAGAGCTGTACAGCCATCACCACATTTTGAATTTAAAACCTTCCTATCCCCTCAAAGGATGACGGAAACATCACCCCCCAGTCCTGGGCAACCACAAATCTACTTTCTTTTTCTGTGTATTTGTCCTTTCTGGGCATTTTATTTGGATGTAGATGCCTTGTCATAAACATGCCTAGGACAGTTGAAGCCCCTCAACTACCCTTTGTGATACTGGGGGCACTAGATCTAGATTTCTCCCCCTTTTTTATCCTAGCAGACAGCATCCACTCTGCCCCCATTTCTCTGAGTTATCCTTTAGACTGAGCCAATCGTGTTTGATGGAGAGTTTTTGTTGTTGTTTTATTTTTAATCGGTTAATGAAGGAGAGATGGAAAGGGACCACAGGAACTGGTGACTTTTAGACCACCCTCTACTGTCCTCCCAGGCACTCTAGCAGCACATCGCCCCCTAGTGGTCACTGATCTGAAACGGGGGCCAGCTCCAGAACCCACAGATTTAGTGTTTCTGTGGCCCTTTCCAGGGAAACATTGCAGCCGGGGCTCCCTGCCCCTCAGTCCAGCCGAGGGGCTGCACTCTCAGATCACTATGAGGTCACGGGGCATTTACAGTTCACACTATCTTAGCTTAGTGTGTAATCCCTTAAAAGTTACTTCTTGTCATGTAGCTGAAACTAATTGGCAGATGGCTTGGCCCTCACTCAGATAGGCTGTATGTAGGATCAGGTATCAGGTATCTGACTTAGTTAACAACCCGGAGAGAGGAAACAAAGCCCCTTGGCTTGGTGACCATGTTGACCTTTGATCCTGTCCCAAAGGTCAACGATTGCTCAAGACTCTTTATGCTGGGCGTATCAAGGTTCCTGTTTGGAGAGTTATTAATTTTGTCCCTCTTCCCTTGAATTATATCACTATACACTCAGAAATAGACTCCACAACAGGAATTGGATTGGGCTCAAGTCTGAATTCTCTTACCCTGTAGTTGGTTGATCCCTGCTTCCTTATCTCAAGAATTAGGGGCTAAATCTCCCTTTCTACCCCTAGCAGTTTAGGATCTAGTGAAGTGGGTGGAGCTGGCACAGTACTTTTTGCCCAGTACTCATTCAACACATATTGGGTGCCTGCTGGACACTGGGTTTCAGCATCTAGCATCACTGTCTTATTTCACAACGATTCCTAACCTTTTTCCCTCTCCATATGCAGGGTCGGCCGGCGGCCTGTGCTGCTGTTTTCCATCATCTTCATTCTGATCTTTGGACTGACTGTGGCACTGTCAGTGAATGTGACAATGTTCAGCACACTCAGGTTCTTTGAAGGATTTTGCCTGGCTGGAATAATTCTCACCTTGTATGCGTTACGTAAGTAGTAACCTTCATGACTAGTCTCGCAAGAATTTAGCAAAAGTATTGTTGCCTGGGGGGTCCTGGGAAAGATACTAGGCACGCTGCTTGTTTGGGATGGCAGCTTTTGGAAACAAACACCAAAGGCCTCTAGTGTTGTGAAAGAGGCTTTTCAGGTGAGGCCGGGCAGCGTTTCGTTCAATCCTGATCTCCAGCTCAGGCTCAGAGCACATCAAAGGACATAGGAGGTTGCGTAATTGCTTGGAGAAGTGGCGATCAGCCCTTTCCTGGTATGGGGAGGCTTTGGCTTTTCTCCAGAATTTTCTGCATTGACATTCTGTGTGCTTCTATCTGGTGCATAATTGGGTATCCATACAGAATCCAAATTTTCCACATTTTCATGTCCCCAGATGTGACCTTAAGTGGTCTGGAACTGAATCCTAAGCATTGGTACTAGAAAAGTAAATGGCAAGATTTGGTAGCATTTGCTCTTTTTAGGAGCATGAGACATTTCTTTCATTCATTTCTCTTGTTTGTTGGCCATATTAGCTCTGCTGAATATAGTTACGTTTCACTTATTTCCACAGACCCATAAGAAGAAGGAGAGTTTTAGGCAAGAATATTTCACATATTTACTGGTTTCATACTTTTTAGTCACTTTTTGGAAAGATCTGTTGGAAATACTGTAAGATTTACGATATATTTTGTCTTTCTCTTTGACAACATGCGTAGGAGTCGGGTATAGATTAAGTAGCAATTTCCACTGTGACAAAATAAGAATAGTTCTAATTCTCTTAAATTTGCATATTAAAGGCTTCTTTTAGATAGCTAAAATTTTTGTTCCACTAGAAATATAATCAATTCAGAACATAGTTTTATGGTCACAGGAAGGAGCAGACACAGAAAAAGACTACTATTCTTCTAGATCCATAGTCGGCAGTTGTATCAACATTTAACTGAATTGTAGTTTCTTAAAAATCACCTTTTCCAGTTGATTTGCATTTATCTTAGAACCCTTGTCTCTTAGGGGAGTTCTTTAGGAAGATATGCGAGACAAGATGAGTGGGCCTGGGTGATGGTATTTGGGGACTTTGTTTCTTTGAATAAATAACATGACTGTTGGGCTTGAACCTCCTCGGGCAAAGTACCTGTGCCATTGTCTATGGCCCTGACCCCTGTCAGTCTGTGCAGCGGAACAGGTCTAAGCTCTTTTCTAGAGAAGCCTCCTGTTCCTGCCTGCAGGCATTCCTTGGCCCACATATGCGCAGGTGCGCGCTGGGAGCCTTGCTCCAGGCAGCTGTTCTTGCCAGGCTTCCATTCTCACAGGGGGAAGGCAATCCAGTCCTCCTCCCACATAGATGGTCATAAAAGGGGACAGCTCTGAACTTGGACAAAATGGAATAGCTGTGCTTCAGGAGCTCTGCAGAGTATAACCTCAGTTTCACCACCCCCATGGAAAATTGTCTTACCACAAAGATGGTTTTATCTTGTAGTCATTAGCCAACTGCTAATGACTGGCTGAAGCTGCCAGAGAACTAGAAGAAGACTTCTGAGGACACTTGGGGGCTGAGCAGAAGAGAACACCTTGATCTGTTAGCCATGACTGCCGGGGTCAAGGAAGGAGGGTAGGGAAGGGCTGCATCTATAACTAGTATTTGCCATCTGGAGAGACTGTTGGTGAATTAAGCCAGACCAGGAGTGAATTGTGCCTGAATGGCATGGTTTCCACCTCACATACTAATAGAATTGTTTTACCAACTTGCATTGTGACATCATGCCATTAGCCTCTGAAGCCAATTGCTATATTTACTCTAAGATACTATGTTGAGGATTTTTTTAAATTAGATTACACAGTGAGCTCTTTATAGCAGAAAGTTCTCTTCCACTTCAGAGCCATACAAAGAATGTACTTACCCTAGAAGATTGCTTTGCTCCAATCTCCGAGGCGCAGAATCATATAAATAAAAAGGCACATGAAAATAAATTTTTTTCACCTAGGAAATTTTTCAGGCTTTGCAGGTCATGTTGTCTCTGTCATAGCTACTCAGCTCTGCCACTGTAGCCTGAAAGCAGCCATAAAGAATATGTAAATGAGCAGGTGTGGCTGTGTTCTAATAAAACTTTATTTATAGGAACAGATGGTGGGCCAGATTTGGCCAGTGGGCCGTCATTTTTCAACCACTGATTTAAGTATTTGTGTGTGGGCCTGATAACACGAGCTTTAAATTCTGACCTCTCTGCTCGTTTCATTTTAACTTCCCTGCTTTAATGTCTGCTTTGTCACATTTTTCTTTCTCCACAATTTGTGTTCTTTTGTGTGTATGTTGTTGGTAGAAGCAGCCTTAGGTATTTTCTGTAGTATAGCAGGGCATAAATAAATGATCATGTTTTCTTAGATTGGGACCACAAATGAAATAAACATCATGACAAATGTCAACGCAATGAAAATGTTCCAAGTATTAACAAGTGATTGATTCACTGTTAGACCTAATTAAGTGTTTGCAGTTACACAACTAAGCTAAACCAAAGGGAAGTGAATGATGACTCAGAGTTTGTTGAGATAATATTTAAACAATGAAAATTTGGGAGAGCTGGTTGAGAGATGGCAAAAGAGCAAAGCTTTTAGAGAAGAATCAAAAGGAAATAAAGGGAGAATTTAAAAAGGAAATAAAGGGCAGGTGAGATGGGGTAGGATACGGTTGGGGTGACCCAAGACTCTATACGCAGGGCAGTCTTGGGAGAAGGCAGAGGCTAGTGACGAGAAGTTAAGAGAGGAACTCCCAATCAATAAAGCAGTCCCGGAGTATCCAATCAATGTATTTGCTAGCGTTTTATGCATAGGTAGTATTTATGATTAGGTAATGCTCGGAAATTCGTTTTGCTTGAAGAAAATTATTGATAAGCCAGGTCACAGGGTTGAAGTACTTCTTGACTCTTAAGAAAAGTTTGAAATGTTGGGGCATTGATCGTTTGGAAGTTATATTTGTGATGGTCTTCTTCTCCCCTCCAACCATAAGGTCTTTGTCTCACTTAATGCATCTGCTGGAAAGGCCTGTGCTTTCTTAGAACTGAGATGGATGGCATTGTTTTTCCAGTCTTGCAGGTGCTTGGCAAAATACGTAGGGAAAGTAATGATTTCTGCAGTTTTAGCTTCTTGTGTGGCTTGCCGTGAAGGTGGACTCTTCATTTTGAGAAATGCTGCTGACTTGTGGAAGTTTTCTGCTTTATTAGCAAGGCTGATGAAGTTTTTTTTCTGCTTTGGATTTTTAAGGTACATTCCAGTTAAATGCACTTTACATGTTTGTTTCCCTCAAGTCGCCAAAGGGAGACATGGTTGTGTAATTGGTACATAAAATAGAGATTGCTGGCATCTTCCCAAGGTGTGTTTGCATGGAAGCAGAGTTGCATGTTGGCAAGAGCAAGAGAGAACAAGTCAAGCTCAATGAGTCTCCCAGGCACAGTAGTGGCCTCTGAGATCATTGTGAGACACTGAAATAATTTCTAAATACGCTTGGGCTGGATCTCTCACACACACACACACACACACACACACACACACACACACACACACACACGCACAGTGGAGAAAAACTGACTTAGCAAGGCAAGAGGCATGGACCAAGAAAAGAAACAATGGATCACACTTTCCTATGTATTTATGAAAATACAGTCTTATTTTCAGCCTAAAGAAACAGTTACTTCTCAGCATAGGCGGATGTGATTTGTTGTATGAATCCTTTTCCTCACCAGGATCCATGACATCACAGAGAAGGTAATATAGCACTGTGAGGGATGTGTCTTTCTTCAAATGGAGGCAAGGAGAGGTGATGTTTTTTAAGTTGATTTGATGTTGGATATATACGTCCTGTGAGAGAGAATTTTTTAAGTAAAAAATACTGTTTAAAAATGTCTGTCCTCACTCGATCTCTGCCCTTCCCCTCTCCACTTCTAACAACCTCCCCCAACTACAGTTTCCCAATTTGAAATAATGAACAATACCTTTTGTTGACAGAGAGACCAAACTTTAGTTACTATGGCCAAACAAAGGGTTTTTTTCCCCCGTAACAATGAACAATTTTCTTGAAAAAGTCTCTCAAAGATGTTCTTACTCCAATAACCCTCCTTAAACCCAGACAGCCTAAATGACTGGATAAATGTTACACAAGATCAAGGAACAACCAGAAATTTCACAGCTGACTCAGTGACTGATTACTTTGCAAAAATAGAAGCCAAGTCTTGACTTAGCTGGTAATAGACTCAGAGTTTGAGTTTGCTCTGGCTAGGGTGCTGGTCCCTTTTTCACATGGCACTAATGGTTTTAGACACTTACAGAAGTGGTTGAGTAATTTCTAATGTGCTGGGGTTGGATGGCTTTTTCTTTCTCCCTATCCCATATACTTTTACACTTCGATATTTCTCTGAACTAATACTCCTTGCAACATATTTCAGTCAACAGGATCATTAAGCGTCAGTACTATGCTGTATATGTAAAAAAAAAAAAAAAAAAAACTGAACCAAATGGCTCCATAGGGTGAGTTGTCAAAGTGTTGAATGAAGAGAACGGAGATTGCCAATGTCAACTAGAAATGTCTTCAACTATTGTGTGGGCTTCTGGGGAACAAACATTTGCTCTGCATTTGGGTGAAGGGAAAGTTTCACAGGAATATGTGCTCCGTCGTCTCTTTCTCTCCACCCACTTCCCCATCTTCAGATACCTGGGCCTTCCCAGTAGCAGCACGTTCTCAGGGCAAAAAGCCCTTCTCCCAGTGGGACTGACTCTACTCACAAGGCTTTTTCCACCAAGGAAGTGAGTCAGAGTTTACCAAAGGCCTTTGACAAAACCTTTTTTTTTAAGCTTCAAAGGAATTTTGGTTTTACTGGGGTTCAGATGGGCACAACTGGGATATCGGAGCAGATTGAGGTCTCTCCATTGGTCCATTTTCTTCACTGGAAACACACGAACCCTGCGGGCAAACTGCGCAAAGCAAAGGAGTAAATTTCTAAGCAAAAAGTAACAG